ACTCTAAACCCTCAATTCTACAAGGAGGTGGTCTAGGTCCTTCAATAGATGCTTAGCACTCCCAAGGAGGTCACGGGCATGGCTGGTCAACAGACCTGTCAACACTGCAAAGGCGAAAAGGGTCCTTCCTACATGAAGAATGTCAGATTCTTTAAAGTTTTAGGTTTCTTGGGTATACTTAGACCTTATCTTTAAGTACACTTCCTTGTCTGAGTTGTTTGGAGAGAAAAATCTCAGACTCGTCCAAAAAAAAAAAAAAAAAAAAAAAACGCTCGTAAAAGTCACTGAACCAAAGTCCCTTAACAAGACCTGAGATCTCCAACCTACCTGTGACTCCTGGGGCCTTCCAACCATCAGTCATGCAGATGAGACCCCAGGACCAGGACTGACAATTATGGGGTGCAAAAGAGCTCCAAGTTCCCATCTAGAAGTATCTTAGCATACTTAGGGCCCCTAATACTGTCTTTGAAGCGGGGGAATGAGGTTTCATCATGCCTTCTCCACCAGATCAGGTTCAGCAACAAGACCTAAGTTTCTCGGACCAATCTGAAACATTTCCTTAGGTCCTTTTCAGTCTGGCGGACTCGCGTGCTCTCACCTTCCAGCCCTTACCTGTTCCACAGTGGCAGGATCCATGGCCTCGATTCGTGCCGCGGCGGCTTCATATTCGTCTTCACTGTTGTAGCCTGCTCCGACCTCTTCACGCTCCGGACTGCCCCCGCCAACTGCGCCAACGCCGGGAGCTTGACGCCGCCGCTTGCTGTGCCCCGGGCCCGAGCAGCAGCCGCCCACGCCCACAGCACCACCCACGCCCACCACCACCCCTGCCGCGCCCACCCCCGCAGTTGCCGCACCAAGAGCGTCACCAGGACCGCCGCCGGGGCCACCAGGGCCCCCACAAGGAGGTGGAGAAGCCTGCTGTGGCCGAGGGCCCGCTACTGCACCAGGCGGCACGGCTAGTGCCCAACGATGAAGAGCACCAGGCGGCCCCGGTAGTGGGCCCTGAGGTGGTGGTGAAGCCCGGGGACGAGCCCCCACGACGCCGGAGTCACGGTCGCGTTCTCCTCCACCCACGCCCGTGCCGCCGCCGCCCACGCCCACACCCCCACCGCGCCGAGGCGCTGGGGGCAGCGGCCCGGGCGGCGGCGGTTCGTTGGCCGGGTCAGTGTCGGGAGGTGGCGGCTTCTTTTTGGGGAGAATAGTCATGGCGGCACCGCCAAGTACCCCACAGCAAACCAGTCGCGGTGAACGCCGGGAGAGAACCCGGATGAGGGGGCTACTGTTGTGCGCGAAGCACGATGGGAACAGCGAGGCCTGGATAAAGAGACCGGCACACCGGTTAGAGAACCGTAGGCAGTACGCAGGTCACGCCCGGAGGAGATCCCGGATGTGAGGTCCAATAGGATGGTACAGAGACGAACTTGTCGTAGCTTTTTCTCCCTCCAAGTCCAGCCAAGCTTATTGCTACCTTGTTCCGGGATTCAGCTTCAAAGGAAACACAACCAAAACAAGCACCTCTTCGCCCCGCCCCTACACAGGTTCTTGAACTACCGGGTGGGGCCTCTGGGGCTATGCGCACGCGCAGCGGGACACAACCCGGTCTCTTTTTCGGAAGTACGTGGGCAAAATCGTCGCCGCGGTCCCAGCGGCACACATCAACCAATTGAAGAAGCTGCATAAAGCCTTGACAACACGCACGAGCCAATCAGGGATGAGCGCTCGCTCTCTCGTGTCCTCCGTCTCAAATTTCAAAGTCTGTAGCCGTGTGTGTTCCCAGCTTTTCTCGTCGGTTCCGTTCTGTTCTTTATTTTCTCCAAGGTCCTAACCCACAGGCAGCGGTACTATAAACAAACGAAATGGTGGGCCTCGCGAACAGTACACCCCGTTTCCTCAAGGAGCCCATCTGGAACTCAGAACACACTCATTGGAAACTATCAACATTCCCAGAGCGTATCACCCCCTCTGTCATCACGTCCGGTACTACCCACCTGTAAACCGGAAAAGGCGGCACCCTGCTTCACCCTGACAACAAACATAATCTTGCGGTGATTGGCTTAACGATTCTGCCCATCATTTCAGATCGGCCAACCGCTAGATAGACATGCACCTTACGGATAGTGTTTGGAGGAAAGACACGCCTTCTCCGTCACCTCCGCCTTCTTAGCCTCACGTTGACCTCCTCAAGCCCATGGCTATTGCGCAGGCGCGGTACAGCCTTTATCGCCACTTGCACCGCCCCCCATCCTACTTTACTCAGGAAAAGAGAAAGTTTACAAAACACTGTCAGCAGCTAGTGTCTCCCAGTGGTGTTGGCAAAATCCTTGATATTGAGCAGCTAGAACGCTACTAGCGTGGCCCTTAATGTTTGAGTATTTGGAGCAAGTTAGTTAACACCTGATCCATCCTCTATTTCTAGTTCTCTGTAAAACAGCAATAATTTCTGTGTTAGAAATTAATGCCAATAAATGGCCTGGTTCTGTGCATGGCGCACAGTAAGTGCTACATAAATTAGAATCTGTGGTAATGTGGAAGAAGGATCCTGGACTTTGATTCCGTAGAAGGAAAACCTCGGTTCTAGGCACACATGGATCATTATGAAACTTTTGCAAATCATTGTCCCTTTTAAGATTTCCTGTCCAAAGCGCAATATCAGCAATGGGCTATCATCATTCTGGAAGTTCAGGCAGGACAATCAAGAGCTCAAAGCCAGGGGCTAAAAAGACAGCTAAGTGGTTAAGAGTATTTGCTCAGCCATGTGGTGGTGGCGCACGCCAGGGGCTAAAAAGACAGCTAAGTAGTTAAGAGTATTTGCTCAACCAGGTGGTGGTGGCGCACGCCTTTAATCCCAGCACTCAGGAGGCAGAGACAGAAAGATCTCTGTGAGTTCTAGGCCAGTCTGGTCTGTAAGAGCTCATTCCAGGACAGTCACCAAAGCTCAAAGCTACACAGAGAAACCCAGTCTGAAAAAAACCAGGGGGGGAGAGAGAGAGAGAGAGAGAGAGAGAGAGAGAGAGAGAACACGCATTTGCTCTTCCAGAGCAGGTTCAATTTCCAGCACCCACATGGTGGTTCACAACCATCTGAAACTCCAATCCCAGGGATCTGAAAACCTCTTTTTGCCTCAGCCCGCTGTAGGCATGCTAGTGATGCAAACACATACATGTAGACAAAACACCAATACATATAAAATAATTTTAAAGAGAGAGTTCAAGGCTAGCCAGGACTACATGGTGACCCTGTCTCCAACAAAAAATATTTTGGAGGAAACAGAAAGACCACATAACCACCTCCCTTCAGATGCTAACCTTAACAGAAGCTTTTCTCCGAAAGGCATCAGTAATACACGGGTACATACGGGTCCTAGTGATGTTTTCTGTTCCTGAGACTTCACAGGAAGAGAAGACACATATCTCCTGGAACTTCTGTATGCAGGGATTTCTGCCCAATGCTGATGAACATTATACCGACTTGTCTTATGGTTGTCTTTGGACATATATCCCATTGCCTACAGGATATCTGCTCAGCACTACCCGCCTAAAACTAGACTAGCCTTCATCCAATACTTAACTATATACCTGACACTGTAGTAATAGCTTTCATGTGTCCTTTAATAGCAAAACGACCCCTCCACCAGTTATTACCCAAACCAGAAACCTGAGTCAAATTTGACAGCTTCCTCTTCTCCAATTCCCATTTGCCTGTCAATTCCAAGTCCTGCTCATTCTATCCCTGGAATTTCATGACTTTCTTTAGTTTGGTTTGGTTTGGTTTTGAGACAGAGTTTCTCTGTGTAGCTTTGGAAGACTGTCCTGGAATTTGCTCTGTAGACCAGGCTAGCCTCGAACTCACAGAGATCTGCCTGCCTCTGCCTCCCAAGCAACAACTTTTGAATTCTACTGCTATCAAAATAGGCAAGCCAACATCCCCTACCAAATGGACTATCACAAAAGTCCTTGGCGGAGTCTCCTTCACTCAAGACTTTTTATCCATAACTTTTTCCTCATGGCCAAAATTATCCTTCTGAAATGGAAACTTAATGACTTCCCTGTTTCTGAGTCTTCAGTGGTCCCCCCTTAAGCACGGCCTTTTGCAACCTGTACTATCTACTTCCCTCCCTTCAGCCTTGCACCCTCCTTTCCAGTTAGACTGAACTACTTTCAGTTCCCCAAAGGCATTGAGCTCACTCTCTAGCCTCCAGATCATTGGACACACTGTGCCCTCCACCCACATTTTCAGCCTTTCCTCTCTTGCCTAACTCCAACTCCTTGTATACATACAAATCCTATGATAGCCAGTTTAGGTTACCTTGCCATCTATGTTTCTATAATTCATCACTCTTAGTTCCACCACCTCGTATTGGAATTGCTTGTCTGCCTTTCATGCTCAACTCTGTATATTAAATATAGTAATGCCTCTTTGCCCATCATTGCACCATAGTGCTACTACATGATGGGCAATTAATACATATTTGATTTTTTTTTTTGAGACAGGGTTTCTCTATAGCTTTGGAGCCTGTCCTGGAACTAGCTCTGTAGACCAGGCTGGCCTCAAACTCACAGAGATTCGCCTGCCTCTGCCTCCCGAGTGCTGGGATTAAAGGCGTGCGCCACCACTGCCCGGCAATAAATATTTGATGATTAAAAAACTACTGGCCGGGCAGTGGTGGCGCAGGCCTTTAATCCCAGCACTTGGGATGTAGAGGCAGGTGGATTTCTGTGAGTTCAAGACCAACCTGGTCTACAGAGCAAATTCCAGAACAAACTCCAAAGCTACACAGGGAAACCCTGTCTCAGAAAACAAAAACTAAAACAAACAAAAAATATTATCTATTTCAAATTAGCGACCTGACACAAAAGTTGATCCTCTCACCCAAGGCCTGAAACATGGCAGTCTGAATCCACTATTTGTCTTTGCAGTGCTCTACAGAGCTCAGTCACATACTAGCCTGGCACGGCCAACATCCAGGAGTGAATGTAGGGGACATCCATGACAAAGGAGGGTATAACAAACTCAGAAATAATTTTATTAGGGTTAAATGTGTAGGGTTTTGCTATCAGAAAACATGAGCTTGTTACCCCTCTAAGTAACAATAATGTTGCTCTGGATCTTGGTTTCTCCATCTGTGAATGAAGGACTTGGAATAGATTAATATCCGTGGTACACCATTGGGTATGGTGGCACATGCCTTTAATCCCAGCATTCATTCAAGAGACAGAGGCCGCAGATCTCTTGAGTTCAAGGTCAGCCTAGTCTATAGAGCTAGTTCCAGAACAGCCAGGCCTATACAGAGAAACCCTGTCTTGGAAAAAATCCCAAGATACATCAGTCTTAGTACCCTTTGGCCTGTTTTACTGCCTCCAGAGACCAACTCTTCCTATCACCTTCTTTCATTTCTCCATGATCCTCATCTTCAAGAATACATCACTAGCCATCCGCCTCCCATACCCCATACCTCTACCCACATCAGCCCCTTCACTGTTGAAAGAAATTGAGACCAGAGTGTCCTTAACCCCTCAGCCAAGCCCTCAAAGTCAATCCAGAGTCAGTAGATGCTCAATCCACATCTCTCTTCTTAAGTTTTATTGACTGATGAAGACATCATCTTTGTCAGCTGCCGGCTTCGGGGGGACAGAGCTGGGAGACAGGGAACCTGAGATGACGTGAGATTTCAGTCTGAGAGCAAAGATCCAGCAGGTGACCCAAGAGAGAGAGGAGAAGACTATGTGGAAATTACAGGGCAGGAGGAGGCAATCAAGAAGTCTCTTCTGTCCCTCCCAGGGTTCAGAAACAACCCAGGCTTCTGCCTACAACACTTCTGGACTCCCGCCCAAGTCGACAGAGTCAGCCCATGATCTCAAAACCCAGCCCTGCTCGAGCTGGGTGCCAGGCTCTTATCTCAGCAGGTCCAGACTCCAGACCAACCCAAGAAGAAAAACACCAGAGAAGAAAGTAGTTAGATGTGGCCCATCTGATCGGGGCAGATGTATATGCTGCAGCAAATCGCTCGGAGGCTTTGCATATGGTTACGGCAGCAGCTGCTATTGCTAGAGTTTGCTGGAGGCCCAGCAGAGGGCAGGTGGCAGGAACTCATTTCCAGCAGCCAGGGAAGCAGGTGGTGGTGTTTGTGCTATCTCTGTGTTAGGAGAAGCAGCCTGAGCCCTCAGCCAAAGCTTGGGGATAGTGGGTCACGCCAGAGTCCACAGCCCATTAAGTCAGCCCACAGCTGTATTCCAAGCTTCCAAATCTGGGAAGTGCTGGGCCTGGTGAAGGGCAAAGACCTTGCCCACTATAGGCTAAATTAGAGTTGAGAGTTCTCTTTTCTGAACCCTCGAACTTGCACAGCACAACCAAAGAGAAGAGGAACTCTCGACTCTTCTTGTCAGGCCAGACCTCAAATGTTAGACTACAGAGCACTTTAACCTGCCTCTGAGGGCCCAAGGGAGGAGCATGCAAGAGGCCAGCTTAGGAGAGAGAGGCCAGTCCCAGCATGCTGAGGCAAGGAGGCCAGGACCTATGGAGTCCCAGTGCTTCAGCTCCTGTTAGGAAAATTGTTTCCCATGCCCTAGCTACTTCCCCACCAGATGGGCCATTCCATGAAACTCCATTGCATAGTTCTTGGCAGGGAGCATAAGGGGTCCCCAGGTCTGCCCCTCTTTGCCTCTCCCAAATATGGCTTTGGAAAGGAGTTCCCAAAAATTAAGAGGCCCTCTGAGTGGGCAGACCCATCCCTCACAGGGAAGAGATCTTCACAGTCTCAGGAAGGAGGCAGGGGGTACCCAAGCTGGAGTTCCTGAGGGTAGGGTTGCTTCGGCCACCACTGCCACCACCACCACCAGGGGAGGAAGGTTGACTCTCTTCTGGTGTGTTGGCAGGAGGGGTGGGGATACTGATGATGGCAGCCACGAAGTCCCGGCTATCACAGTTCAGGTCAAGGCTGTCATGAGGCTTGGCATTGAGGCTTGAGCGGCTGTGAACAGGGGTGGGGAAGATGGAATACTCTTAAAAAGTCATCTTGATAATTGCCACACCAACTGTCACATTGATGAAGCACCTACTTGGTCCCTTGCACTGTGCTACAAATTCTTCCTGCTTCCTCAATTACGGTAAAGGAGGTCCATTCTGCAGTCAACTAACTGGTCTTAGGTTCAAATTGTGATCACATTTTACCACACTGAAAAAAGTGCCTGGACATAGGGTACACACACATACACACACACACATACTTTTTGTGTGATGTTGGGAAGTAAATCCAGACCCTTGCCATGTTTGTCTGAGTACCGCATGCATCAAATCACTGAAACTGGAGTTATAGGTGGTTATGAGCCACCACTATGTGGGTGCTACTATGAACTGAACCCAGATTCTCTACAAAAGCAATAAGTACTCTTTTTGTTGTTGTTGTTTGTTTGTTTTGTTTTTCGAGACTGTTCTGGAACTCACTCTGTAGACCAGCCTGGCCTTGAACTCACAGAGATCCACCGCCTCTGCCACCACAGTGCTGGGATTAAAGGTGTGTGCCACCACTGCCCGACTCAATAAGTACTCTTAAGCAGGGCCGCCTCCCTAGTCCCTCTATTGTTTTTAACAATGCCAAAACTATTGCAAGGATCTATAATAGGAATAGGTAATAGTGACACACACCAGTAATTCTGGCACTCAAGAGGCTAAGGCAGGCAGACCCTGAGCTTGAGGCTAGCTTAGGCTGCATACATAGTGAGACCCTACTTCAAAACCAAACAGAACAAACAAAAAGCTAAAATGTCTACACTAGGATCTATAAAACTGAGTCCTCATTCCTTTCTGACTGTCTGCCTTCTTTCCTGTCCCCGACTTCCCACTCTGCCCAGAGTAGTTTCCTTGCCAGACCTCCGGATGTACAGAGGCTTCATGGCATTTGCACAGCGGGACACGGCCTGGAAGACGCTTCCTCTAGTTACATGTATGGCTTACTCCCTTGCCTTTTTTAGACCTGGACTCGGACACCATTTCAGAAAAGTTTTCTTTTCTTTAAAAGAAGATTTTCTTTTAGATTATTTTGTTTTACTTTATGTGCATAAGTGATTTGACTGCATGTGTGTGTGTTTATGTACCACAGCATGCCTGGGGCCTATGGAGGTCAGAAGAGGGCATCAGATCCCCTAAAACTGGAGGCAGAGGTAGCTGTGAACTACCATATATGAGCTCTAGAAACCAAACATAGGTCCTCTTCAAGAACAGCCAGTGCTCTTAACCACTAAGCCATCTTCCCAGCCCCCAAATAGCTTTTTGTAGCTGGGCAGTGGTGGTGCATGCCTTTAATCCCAGCACTTGGGTGGCAGAGGCAGGCAGATCTCTGTGAGTTCAAGGCCAGCCTGGTCTACAAGAGCTAGTGAGCTAGTTCCAGGACAGGCTCCAAAGCTACAGATAAACCTTGTCTCAAAAAAAAAAAAAAAAAAAAAAAAAAGCTTTTCGTGACCACACTACTAAAACTGCACATGGCTCAGTGGTAGAATATTTAACTAACATTTGTGAGACCCCAGGTCCATTCCCAGTACTAAGAAAGATCATTCTTATTTTATTTTTTGAGACACTTCTCACTAGGTAGCCCTGGCTAGCTTGTAACTCACTACGAAACGAGGCTGGCCTAGAATTCACAGAGATTAGGTTACCTCTGTCTCCAGTGTGTTGGGATTAAAGGTGTGCACCACCATGCCCAACCTGAAAACAATGAGGCTGCTTGCTGTGAAACAATCTTTGTACACTGTGAATATCTGTTGCTCTCATTGCTCTAATAAATGACTGAATGGCCGGTAGCTAGGCAAAAAGGGGTTAGGTGGGAGAGTCAGACTGAGAGGAAGCTCGGCAGAAGAAGGGCAGAGTCTGGAGAATTGCGAGGAGACTCAGAGAGAAGAAAGATGAACATACCGTGCTGAAAAAGGTGCCACTATGTGACAGAGTGTAGATAAGAAATATGGGCTACGCCTAGTGTACAAGGAGGTGACAACACGGACGGCCGACCCACCTGATGGCATTAAAGTCTTCCCCAATGAGGAGGATCTCACGGACCTGCAGGTTACCATCGAGGGCCCTGAGGGCACCGCCTATGCTGGAGGTCTGTTCCGTAGGAAGCTCCTAATGGGCAAGGATTTCCCTGCCTCTCCACCCAAGGGCTACTTCCTGACCAAGATCTTCCACCCAAATGTGGGGGCCAATGGTGAGATCTGTGTCAATGTGATCAAGAGGCTGAGTTGGGCATTCGACATGTGTTGCTGACCATCAAGTGCCTGCTGATCCACCCTAACCCAGAGTCTGCACTCAATGAGGAGGCTGGCCGCCTGCTCTTGGAGAACTATGAAGAAAGAGTATGCTGCTCGGGCTCGACTGCTCACAGAGATCCATGGGGGTGCAGGTGGCTCCAGCAGTGGGAGGGCTGAGGCTACCGGGAGCTTGAGAAGTGGGGCTACAGCCTCCACTGACCCTATGACCCCAGGAGTCCTGGGAGGAGCTGAGGGTCCCATGGCCAAGAAACACACAGCCGAGCGAGATAAGAAGTTGGCAGCCAAGAAAAAGTTGGATAAGAAGCAGGCACTAGGGGGCTGGAGAGATGGCTCAGCGGTTAAGAGCATTGCCTGCTCTTCCAAAGGTCCTGAGTTCAATTCCCAGCAACCACATGGTGGCTCACAACCATCTGAAATGAGGTCTGGTGCCCTCTTCTGGCCTTCAGGCATACACACAGAAAGAATATTGTATACATAATAAATNATTGTATACATAATAAATAAATAAATAAATAAATAAATAAATAAATAAATATTTAAAAAAAAAAAAAAGAAGCAGGCACTAAGGCGACTGTAGTGGGCTCTTCTCCTTTCTTCCTTCTGTTCTAGCCCCTCCCACTCTGTCTCTAAGTTATTTAAATTATGGCTGGGGTAGGGGAGGGAATGGGGGAGCACCAGAACCTGGATTTGGTTTTCTAAATAAAAATTGGAAAAAAAAAGAAATATGGGCTAATCTAAGTTGTAAGAGCTAATAGTAACAAGCCTAAGCTCTCGGCTGAGCATTTATAATCAATGACGAGTCTCTGCGTGCTTATTTGAAAGCTGGCTGTCGGGACAGAGCTGACCTGCGATCTCGACGAAAGACTGCCTACAGCTGGAGAGATGGCTCAGTGACTGAGTACTGCTCTTCCAAAGTACCCAACTTTGGTTCCTAGCAACCACATCAGGCAGTTCATAACCTTCTATAACTCTAACTCCTGAGGACCTAAAGCCTAGGGCTTCCATGGGCACCTACAATCACATGCACATACCCACACACAGACACAGAATTGAAAATAAATCTAAAAGGAACCCCTGTATCATCCTCCGCTCAGTAGTCTCTGGCCACTGTTTCTGATTTATTTTTCAGCTTGCTACTTTCAAATGTTTGATTCAGTATGTCATCTGTAAACTTGTTTGTTAAGTGTTTTTTCCTATTAGAATGTAAGTTTCAGGACACACGGATTCACTCCCCAAGCCCATATGTGTGTGTGTGTGTGTGTGTGTGTGTATTGGGTGGAACCTAAGGCTTCCTTCATATTAGGCAAATGTTTATCACTGAGCGACATCCCCAGCTCAAGAGATCCTCCTGCCTTAGCTTCCTGAATGACTAGTCGGCCATAGAATATGCCACTACTATTACTCAGTAAGTATTGAAAAGAATGAAGAACAAAGCGCAGTGATTTTCGAGTATTTTCTACCACCTGATGGCTGGAGTTGAATTAGCATAAACTGAAGGTCAACTTGGCCTATACACAAAGCAAGACCCTGTCTTAAAATTTTGAAACATGAGGGGTTTCCAAGACAAACTCAAGATCTGTGCCCAGAGGAATCTGGTTTTGGGCTTGACTTGCTAGGCCTACAGTCATGAAATCTCAAACCCATGGCTCAAATTCTGCACTTTCTAATGGTGGACAAACAGGTGAGCCCGGCACTTACCTCTGAGGGGCAGGGCTCCTCCGAAGCCCTGCTAGAGTGTCTAGCTCCTGCATGCTGCCACGACTGACCGAAGCAGTGGAGTTGGCAAGGCGGATGGCTCGACGCTTGACCCTTCTAGGGCAGCAAGATGATAACAGGCTGCCAGGCCCCATTGGCTGGGAAGACACTGAGGTACTACGGCTGGTGCGACCACCCAGGGAGACAGCTCCAAGGGCCTCACTGAAGGTTAGCTCATCTGTGAACTCATGACACTGTGGGCAGAAGGTAAGCAGGATCACAAGGTAGCCCATGCCATGGAAACCGATACAACTCCCAGACCTTTGCTTAGAGAAAGTCGTTCACTCTCCCTTTTCTTTCCTTGCCCATCTTAGAAGCCTCTTTTTTTGAGACAAGGTGTAGCCTATGTAGCCTTGGTTGGCCTAGAATTCACTATGTAGATCAGGCTGGCCTCGAACTCATTGAGATCACCTGCATCTGCCACAAGACTCGGTCTCTTAAAGGGAGCACCATGTGATGTTCACAACTATGTGGTAAGGCTTTCATCTCAGTGAGGAAACCAACTCAGTGTCCAGAAAGACCTCCCTCCTACCAGGTGACATCTTGTTTGGCCTCACCGTAGTCTTCTCTAGACAGTGCAGCAAATGGTGATGCTGCTGTTCAAAAGCAGAACGGCTCCGAACGCACAGTGCCTGTCCCTCCCCGCTGCCACTGTCCTGGAAGAGACGGAGCAGAAACAGGCAGTGAGCACCTTCCCCTCACAACCCTGCTCACCCCTAACCCCAATAAGTGCACCTCCCCACCTCAAGGCCCCCATTTTGCTTATACTGCAGGAAGGCATTGGTGGTGCCACTCTTTGCCAACCGGATTCTTGCCAGGCGCACCTTCTACAGAGAGGAGACAAAAGATTAGACACGTGAGGCCAGGGACAGACGGGTTTAGGGTGTAAGGAACGGTGCTCGGAATGGCGATAAGGTTACCTGCTGTGCTCGGCGCTTGTCAGCACGCTGGTTCTGATGGTAGATGCGGCTAAAGTTGGACACAATGACTGGTACAGGCAAGGCAATGACCAAGACACCACTAAGTGAGCAGATGGACCCAAAAATTTTGCCAGCAATGGTGCTAGGCACCATGTCTCCATACCTGGAAAAGACAGAGGCAGGCCAAGGTTGAAGAGGTATTCAATAATCCCCGATTCCACCCACCCACGCCTGATGTGTTCTGCAAACTTGGCCAAACACACAGACTCTCTGAGTTTCAGTTTCTTTCTTTCTGGCGGCTAGAGAAATGGCTCAGAAGTTAGAGAGTCCCGCCTCTCCAGTTCAGATGAGAGGCTCTGTATCCCAGAAGTAGTCTGTTGGTTTTACTTGCTTCTCTACATTCTTTAGGAAGGACCCCTTCAAATATCCCCCAGAAGAAGCCTGGAAAGTGTCCTCCTATGAAAGATAGGGAGCCTCCAAGCGGTAGTGGTGCACACCTTTAATTCCAGCTCTCAGGAGGCAGAAGCAGGCAGATGTCTGAGTTTGCGGCCAGCCTGATCTACAGAGCAAGTTCCAAGAGTTCCAGGACAGCCAGGGCTATACGGAGAAACACTATCTCTTGAGGAAGAAAAAAAAGAAAAAAAGAAGTGTGTTATTTTAGGGGCTGGAGAGATGGCTCAGAGGTTAAGAGCACTGGCTGCTCTTCCAGAGGACTCAGGTTCAATGCCCAGCACCCACAGGGCAGCTCAAAACTGTAACTCCAATTCCAGGGGACCAGACACCTTCACACCAATGCACATAAAATAAAGTTAAATAAATTATTTTTCTTTTAAAAAAGAAAGACAGGGAGCCTCTAAACTACCCTGCCTTCCTCCAAACCACCACTCTCCCATGGAACAAGAGCAGAACCAGCTCAGAGAGGGCGCCATAGTTGATTTGCCCAGGAACATACAGCACACATTTTTTTTCTAACCACAGACCAACTGAAACTCCTTTGAGAAATTCAGCCTCTGCAATCTTCAGACAGGGTCTCCAGGCAGACCTCAAACTTACTACTTTTCTGAGGATGACCTTGAACTTCTGATCCTCTTGCTTCCACCTCCCACTGTGTACTGGGATTACAGGCACCTGTAATCCCGCTCAATTTGTGGAGTGCTGGAAATTCAACCTAGAGCTTTAGAGGTGCCAGGCGAGCACTGTATGAGTTGAGCGACATCTCCGGATCTTCTCATTTGTTCTGAGCATTCAGGACTGTGCCCAGAGCCTCTCTAGCTTGGCCATTTCTAGCTATGTGATAATCATCTCAGACTATGTTTCACCTATGTGCCACAGGAGCACCTACCTTCACAATTGTTCTGAGGACAGGATATGGCAAAAGACAGCAAGATACCTACTGCTAACTCATTCTTTGTACTCAATATCTATTGATTTGATCCAGTCATGAACTTCCAAGCAGAATTAGTCTGTACTTCTTAGAAACTTTTGTACTTCTATTGGGCACTGAACAAATTCAACCATTCTTTCTACAGACATTGAATGACAACAGTCTACTTAATCCTAGAGATGGGAATTTAGAGAAGAATCACAGCATCTGCCTTACAGTGTCTGAAAAGCACTGGAAGGAGGCAGGGGAGATGGCTCAGTTGGTAAATACCTGTTTTACATGTAAGCATGAGAACCTGAATTCAGATCTCCAGAACCCATGGTAAAAGCTATATCAAGATGTGTGCCTAGAATCCCAGCCCTGGAGGACAGAGATAGGCGTGGCACTGGTCAGCTAATCTAGTTGAATGGATGAGCTTCTGGTTCTGTCTCAAAAAAATAAAGGTGGCAGCCAGGCAGATCTCTGTGAGTTCAAAGCTACCCTGATCTACAGAGAGAGTTCCAGACAGCCACAGCTACACAGAGAAACCCTGCCTCAAAAAATAAATAAAACATTGTTTAAAAGGTAGCAGAGTGTGGTGGTGCACACCTTTAAACCCAGCACTCAGGAGACAAAGGCAGGTGGATCTCTGAGGTGGAGCCCAGCCTGGTCTACAGAGTTCCAGGACAGCCAGGGATACACAGAGAAACCCTGTCTTGAAAAACAAAAACAGAAAACAAATTTCCTGGACTCCAGGTAAAGGTGGAAGGAGAGACTACAAAGTTGTCCTCTGACCTCCATATGCATATTCTTACATGTACATGCTCAAAGCACACACGCGCGTGCACACACACACAAACACAGGGTTAAAGAGAGAGAGGAAGCTAAGAATTGTGACACAAGCCTAGAATCCCAGCATTTGGGAGACAGAGGCAGGAATAGGATCATTGTAAATCTGAGGCCAGCCTGGGTGTACAAATTGAGAGTCTGCCACAAAACAAAACACTGAGAGCTGGGGCAGAGCCTATGGCTACTGTGGTGAGGTCTTGGGTTCAAGCCCCAATAATGTCCCTCCACAAACAGAAAACATCATGAATTTGGCAATTCCATTTGTATCTATCTCAACTGTTTCCTCTCAGGGATTGGCAGTAAAAAATAATACTCATCCCAGTACTCGGGAGGCAGAAGCAGGTGGATCTCTGTGAGTTCAAGGCCAGCCTGATCTACAGAGTGGGTTCCAGGACAGCCAAGACTGCTACACAGAGAAACCCTGTCTCACAGAACCAAAATAATACTGATTTATTATAATAATACAGAACTGATATAGTCAGCTGGGTGCCATAGACCCAGCGTCCCAGCACTCAGGAAGCAAAGGCAAATGGATGGTGAGTTCAAGACCAGATTGGCCTACATGGTAAGAATCTATCTCAATACAAAAGTAATGCTGAAAATATCTTCTGGAAAACATCAAGGAATCACAAACTCCCAGCGGCTGTGTCTGTACAGTCATATAGCAGTTTTAGAAGGTTGAAAAACATGGCATGCATGTTCAAAATGGAAAAAGTTGGTGACAAGAAGCCATGCACCTAAATATCCTGCACCAGAAGCATTCAGAGAACTCACGTGGTATCACTGAATCCTCTTAAGGCTCTCATTTCCCACTTTACAGAGAGGGAACTAAAGCCTAACACGGTGGCTCATGCCTACAATCCCAGTAGTTAGGAGGCTTTGAGTCTGAGGCCAGCTCCGACTATACAGTGAATCTAGGCAGGCCTGGGCTACACAGCATCTAAAAGAAAAGAGAAGGAAACTGGGACCCTGAGAGAGTATGACAAGAAACGAGAGCAACATGGACAATTTTTGAAGCCTAACCTGGAAAAATCAAGATACGTTCAGAGCCGAGAGGGATTATAAACTTTAAAGATAGGGCCATGCTATGTAACCTCATTGCGTTGGAACTTGCTATGTAATCTAGGCTGGCCTCAAACTCACAGAGATCCCCCTGTCTCTGCATCCTAAATGCTGAGATTAAAAGCCTGCGCCACCACACTTGACTTCTCTAAATATTTTTAGACAGGATCTCATTGTGTATCCTTGGCTGTTCTGGAACTGATGTGTAGACCAGGCTGCCCTTGAATTTACAGAGATCTGCCTGTCTCTACTAAGGTGGTGTGATGGATTAAAGGTGTGCCCCACCAACCAAGCTAAATTTTACTTTATTAATATTGATATATTTTACTTTACACTTGTGAGTGTTTTGCCTGCATGTAAAATTGTGTACTGTTGGAGAATATTTGTTTAGCCAGGCAAAGATATGTTAAATTTGTTCATCCTGCATCTGATAACTATGCAAAGATGTGTTGTATTTGTGTTAATTAAATAAAATTAACCTGGGCTCAGAGAGGCGGGGTTAGTAAGAGGTTGACAGGAAGTAGCAAGGAGGAACTGTGTGTGTGTGTGTGTGTGTGTGTGTGTGTTTTAGTTGGGGTAGTGTGGGAGGGATTGGCTTCTAGGACACCAGCAAAGAGACAAAGTTAGCCAGCTGTTACTCTAATTCTCTGAGCTGGCAGGTTTTCACCCTAGCCTTTGAATCTTGAATTTTATTAGAACGATAGAGATTTAGTTAGAACTACCTTTAGAAGCCTGGCAGTGGTAGTGCACACCTTTAATCCCAGCACTCAGGAGGCAGAAGCAGATGGATCTCTGTGAATTCGAGGCTAGCCTGGTCTACAAAGTGAGTTCCAGGACAGCCAGAACTGTTACACAGAGAAACCCTGTCTCAAAACAACAACAACAACAAAAATACATATAAATAAAAAAATAGAGAGAGAAAAAGAAAAAGGAACTACCTTTAGAAGCAGCCACAGAGCCACAGAAATCCCCCCACTGGCTTTAGGACTGGGTACATCTTGGCTGGGCTGTTAGTTTAAAGGACCCTCTGGAATTGGAATTGCAGATGGTTGTTAGTTGGCATGTGGATGCTGGGAACCAAACTTGGGTCCTTTGCAAGAGCAGCAAGTGCTCTTAACCAGTGAGCCATCTCTACAACCCCCTAAAATTTATTTTAAGAGGTTTATTTTGCTAGACATAGTGACACATACCTTTAATCCCAGCACTTTGGAGGCAGAGGTGGGCAGATTTCTATGAGTTCAAGGCCAGCTTGATATGCATAGCAAGTCCCAGGCCAGCCAAGGTTGCATAGCGAAATTCTGTTTCAAAAAACTAAAAAACCAGATGATTTATTATTTTATTATTTTTAATTTACGTATATGTGTGCAGACATGTGCACAACTGCACAGATGCCTGGGTGGCCAGAGGCATCAGATACCCTCGATCTCAAATAACAGGCCATTGTGAGCCCTCCAACCTGAGTGCTAGGAACCAAACTTGGGTCCTCTGGAAAAGAAGTATGTACTCTTAACTGCTGAGCCATTTCTCCAGTCCCAGTTTTTTTTAATTTTTATAGATTAGCAAACTGGAGCTCAAAAGGAGATAAAGGAGCCAAGCATGCTGGTATGTATATACCTGTAATTCCAGCAATGGGGAAGTGGAGGCAGGAAGGTAATGTGTTTGAACCTAGCCTGGGCTATACATAGCACAAACAACCTTGTCTCAAAAGTGGGGTGGCAGGCAGAGGCACAGCACATATTTTGTATGTGTGAAGCCTCCATGTGAGGCTCTGGGTTTGATATCCGTTACGGTACAGGTATATTCTAACCTTTTAATGTTACAGAAAGGGTATGTGTGTCTGGCGGTTGGACACCCAGCTCCCAGCTCAAGGTCTACACTTACCCAAGTGTGGTCATGGTAACAATGGTATACCAGAAGGCAGCAGGGATGCTTGTGAAGTTGGTCTTGCTAGTGCCCTTCTCAGCATAGAACATGACAGTCGCAAAGATGATGATGGCCATGGTGAGGGAAAAGAGGAGAAAGCCCAACTCGGAGGCACAGCTCTTGAGGGTGTAGCCCAGAATCCGCAAGCCCTGGGAGTGTCTGGAGAATTTGAAGATTCTGAAAACCCTGAACACACGTAGGGTGACGAAGGCACCAGAGACATCATCATTCTTGGGCACAAAAAGCCCAATGTAGTAGGGCAGGATGGCTACCACATCGATGAGGCTCATCACACTGCGCAGGAAGCGGCAACGGCTGGGGGCCGCAAACAACCGCAGAAGGTATTCCCCGGTGAATATGAGTACACAGGCTGTGTCCATACAGAAAAAGGCCGTCGGGAAGCGGTCACCACAGGGTTGCTCTCTCGTGGGTCGCCGGGCAGGGCCACGGCATGGGATGGTCTCCACTACATTGGCGATGACCGACACGGCTATGAAGAAGCCAGTGACATAGTAGAAAACGAGTGCTGCAGTGCTCGTGTGTGGGTTTTCGAAAGCCCTCCAGAGTCGCTGTCTCAGGGAGCTGCCTGCTGGAAGGGCTGGACCTTCCCCGGCCTGCTCAGCCTCCTCGTCTTCTGCCAGGCGCTCTGCATTCTCCTTCTTTCGGTCCCTGTACTCTTCAAGACAGCAGTCGCCCACAAGCTCTGGTACCAAGCCATAGAAGGCCAGTTCCTCGTCAAAGGCCTGGATGCACTCCTGCCTGGGGCAGTGCAGGCGGCCTGTGCGGTAGAAGTTCAGCACGTGCCGGAACATGTCTGGGTCACGATCAAAGAAGTACTCGCCTGATTCAGCATCATAGAAGAATTCCTTCTCCGAGCTGCCCAGCAATGTGTCTGGATAGCGATCCAGCGTGTTTTTCCAGGTCTCAAAGCGCCGACCGCTCACATTCACCACCAGTACCTCATCACCTCGGGATGCCTTCACCTCCGGTGCGGGGGGCAGGGGCTGCTGGGCTAAGGGCAGCCAGCCCACTGCTGCAGCCCTTGCAAATGGTAGCCATGTGGCCACACCGGCCGCCATCCTGCAGCTCCCCCAGGCCCACGGAGACTTGGGGGTGTGATGTTTAGGAGAATGTGGCTAGCTCCAGGATGGTAGAGGCTTGGAGAGACCCTGGGCTACCCAGACAAGGAAACTGATGTGTGTGTGTGTGTGGAGAGAGAGAGAGAGAGAGAGAGAGAGAGAGAGAGAGAGAGAGAGAGAGAGAGAGAAACCAATAGGAACCAGAGGAGGAGGAAGTAGAGAGACAGACAGGCGCTTGGGGAGTATTGGGGGTTCCTAGGGGACTAAGAAGGGGTTAAAGTGCTAGAGGAACCAAGAAGGATCCTCAAGTCTAGAAAGACTGAGATGAATCTAGAGTCAACACATTCCTGAGAGATGTCTGAGGGTGTTCAGAGGGACCAATACATAGGTGGGGGGTTGTTCACACTCTCAAGAGTTCCCAATAAAGGAGGGCCTTTAACCCCTCGGTTGAGCTGAAGAGGAGGCAGATAGAGGCATTCAGAGAGTTGGAGAACAGGACCAGAGATGTTTGAAAGAGGCTGAAGGACTGTCCACGCCCAGAAGACTGATGGGAAAAGATGCCTGGGTTGGAGCCCCCTTGCAGATCAATAAAGGGGACTGGAGCATCTCAAGGGTGGCTAGACAGCGGGAGGTTGTAAAGATACTAAAAAGTGTCTGGGGAGTGACTAGTGCTGCCAAGAATAGCCTGGAGGATGTGTCTACAATCTCCAGGAGTTCCGGGGAAAGTAGCAGAGGTGAGGGCCCTCTAAAGAGGACTGCGAAAGGGGGATAGCTAAAGTGGTATATGGGACTAGCTTAGTTTTTAAGAGGCCAGGGGATATGCAGCAGAGAGGTTCCCTGGAGGGGGCTTAGGAAGCCTGGTCCCTATCAAGAGCTCTGAATGAGGAAAGGGGGGATGTGGGGAATCCCAAAGGGCCAATACTCAACTGGACTGAAGTTGGGTATAGCCCCCTGAGCACACAAGAAACTCGCAAAAGACTATGCAAAGAGGAAGGGAATTCCCTCAAAATAGGTTGAATAGGGGGCGGGGTATTGGAAGAAAGTTGGGTGTGTCTCCCAGGAGAGGGGGCTGCTGAACCTGGCAGGAAGCTGGTAGGGGAGACTAGGAGAAGGCTGGGTCCCACCGTTGGAGGCAGGTCTGAGGAAACCACACCCCGAGGGGCTGGCGGTGTGTACCCAGCAACAGCAGTAGCAGCAGCCGGAGCAGCAGCAACAACAGCAGCAGTAGCAGCAGCAGAGGAGGAGGAAGCGAAGAGCCACAGCCAGGCCTAGGAGGGAAAGGTGGAACAGGCGGGGGCGGGGTGGGAGACAGGGGGAGGAGGCTGTTGGGTCCTTGGAAGAAGGCTCTGGAAGGACAAGGTCCAGTGGGACCCCTGAAGACTGTTCCAGGATGGACTAGGACATGGATGGGGACCGCACCAGGAAAAGACAAGGACAGAGCTAGTGATGGTCCCCTCCCTCTCCCCACAGGGCTGTCCTCACCTGTGTCCCTGCTGCAGCAGCAGCAACAGCGTTGGGGCTGGGGGTACCAAACACCGGAGCTCCTGCCCCTCTGCAGAGCTGCCGGAGTTCCTCCTCCTCCAGCGTTCTCTCCCCGCCCCTCTGGAGCTTGTCGGGAGATGAAGCGAGAGGCAGGGAGGGGCCACGTGGCTCCCATTGCCCCTTCCCCTAGGATAGCTTGAGAGAGACCCTGGGGAGACTCCGCCTCCTTACAAAGCTGGTTGGGCCTCAGTCGCGTCATCTGGAAAATGGGGGTGGCAGGGAACTTTGCCAGTTCTCCCCACCTCCTACTTCCTGGACTCCCCCTTCTTTCTACCCAGCTCCTACCCCCACTGCCCCCAGGGGCTCTCACCCCCACCCGTCTGAATCAGCAGCACTTAGCAGAACCAATCGATGGGGAGGCGTCTGTTAATGGCCCCAGAGCGGAGTGCCACGGGGAATGATGCAGTGCTGTGTCCCCTCCCTGCCCCCCCTCTGTGGAAGGGCGGGGAGAGGTGGGGGAGGGGGGACTGGTGGGGATGACCAGGTCTCCAGATCCACTCTGGGGGGGAGGGCATAGGTCAGAGCCCAACTTCTAAACCAGACTTTGTGGGGCTCCAGTATACACCTTCCAGTCTGAGGATGCAAGATGCCTAGCAAAGGTAGTGCAGATGGGGACAATCCAGGTACCACTCCCTACCCGTAGGCCCCTTGCCAAAGGAGCAGAATTCCCATCTGTTTGTATCCAATGCCCTCAAATCACACCTCTTTCCTTGGTGGGATCTGCTTCTGCCTTTCAGAACGCAGAGCACCGAGTGCCTCTGGGATAAGTCTGTGAGTTCTAACCCCAGCTTTGCCAGACTTGCTGTGCCCTTAACCAGGTGACTTATTTTCTCAGTTGTCATAATTATCCCAACTTGACAGTGTCCTTTTGAGCATCAGCTGAAGCAATGTGAATGGGGTGGGCACAGGTAAGGCCTGGCAGGATGCCTGGTCTTAAGTAACTAACGGTGTCTGATGAGAGTGCCTAGCCTTTCAATCCACCCACCTACCCACGATACTCACTTGCTAACTTTTCATATTCCTGATCTGTCCATTCTTTCGCCCACCCATCCTCCTACCCACATAACCAATGACCCTACCCATTCCTCTAGGTACCCCTCTGGCTATTCAGTCACCTACCTACCCCTCAGCTTCTAACCATTTGCCAACCTTTTCCTAAGACCTTTTTCCATGCGTCTATGCATTCTCCAGCTTCCCCCATCATGTATGCCTCCAACTTACCCTTCTCTTTCATTCGCTTATGCATCCATAATTCCACTCTAGCCTTGCCAGTTTACTCCCAACGTATCTATAAATCCATCAATCTACTCACAGTTAATTCACCCATTTATCCATTTGTCCACCCCGCTAGACATCCATCTGTCCATTTGTACCTCCATTTACCCATACTCTATCCACTTACAGATTCATATGCTCATTTATTCATCCAGCCATGCATCCGTCTACCTATGCATTAATTTCCAGCCATACGACCACTTATTTATCCCTCAGTCCATCTAACCACTTATCCACCCTCCCATCTGCTCATTCATCTATACCCTCAATTTAATACCCCCCCCATATCTGCAGATATTTCTGCTACTCCCTTTGAGAGGTCTGTCAGCAACCAGGTGAACTGAGACTGGAAGAAGAAAAACTGGAGCTGGAGGCCACCTTCCCCATTCCAGAGCAATGACCACCCCACTCCCAACACATCCCGCTTGATTAGAAAGAATGAGACCAGACAGTCAGTGCAATGACCACCCCACTCCCAACACGTCCCGCTTGATTGGAAAGAACTAGACCACAGTGCAATGACCACCCCACTCCCAACACATCCCTCGATTGAAAAGAACGAGACCACACAGTCAGTGCAATGACCACTCCACTCCCAACACGTCCCACTTGATCGGAAAGAACTAGACCAGACAGTCAGTGCAATGACCACCCCACTCCCAACATGTCCCTCGATTGAAAAGAACGAGACCACCACACAGTCAGTGCAATGACCACCCCACTCCCAACACGCCCCTCGATTGAAAAGAACGAGACCACACAGTCAGTTGGTGGGCCCGTCTGGCCAGATGGTATTTGGGCTGCAAAGCTTTTACACACACACACTCACACACATACACACATTGCTGGAACATTGAGCATGGACTGCACCCCCACCCAACATCCCCAGTCCCAAATGCAGAGTAGCCAGGCTTCCAAACATAAATTAAAAATAAAATGAAAAGAGTTGGTCTCTGGGAGGGAGAGCTCATGCAGAGTTGAAGGCAGATGCCCCTGGGAGCCAGGGCCAAGAAGAAAAAAATTCATGCCCTTCCCTCAGGATCTTTCCCCCACAAGGGCCTCTGGCCATATGATGGGGGTCATCAATACCAGCCATAGATAGGCTCCTAGCCCTCTTAATGTCCATCTCCTAAAATATTCGATTTGGTGCCAGCCTCTATTTTCCCACCACAACCCAGGGAGTGAATGGCATTCTGGAAGGGAATGGAAGTAGGTGCAGCCCGGAGGTCTTTAGTTGGCTTCTCCAGGTTCTAGGTCCGGGTCAGGGGACCCCACACATTCCTTGCTGAGCCGTACAATTTCCTGGGATAGAACTTCCATGTCCTAAGAAACAAATGATCCATCAGGAGCTAGAAAAGGGGAAAAAGGGCGCAGCAGCTCTGGTAGCAAATATGAGATGTTCTCTGTAGTTAAATGGACTGTTGGGTTAACCAGAGCCCAGTGGTATCAGGCCTTGGATGGGAAGATCCACCACCTTCTCATCTAACAAATGTCTACTTGCTTCTCCAAGGTAGGACCTGGGTATGACTCCCTTAGTGATGAAGGAATATTTGGGTGGTGGGGGAATCATTGTGTGGGTGAACTCATCAGGAATCTTTGGCAGACAAATAGGTTCACAAATGAACTTTGTAGAGGACAAAAAGGTAGGAAGGCACATGACATGTAGGTGGGGGAAAGGGTGATTGCTGAGTAGATGAAAGAATGATGCATCACCGGCACTCGCCTTTAATCCTAGCACTTGGGAGGCAGAGGCAGGCAGATCTCTGTGAGTTCGAGACCAGCCTGGTCTACAGAGCGAGTTCCAGGACAGGCTCCAAAGCTACACAGAAAAACTCTGTTTTGAAAAAACAAAAACAAAAACAAAAACAAAAAAACTGAATGGATGAGTGGGTCGAAGGACAGGTGGAAGAGTGGTAGACTCAACTGGTAAGTTCATCAGAGGGTAGAAGAGGGGAACACAAAAGGATGGCCGATGAGTAGAAGGTGGTATTGGGAGGACAAGGGCAACTAGGAAGGGCACAGCCAAGGACTGTGGGTAGGGAGGCAGGTGGTCCACACTCGCCTTGTGCAAGTGCATATTCTTGGTGAGCTGTTCCTCCAACATGTTCTGCAGCTTCTTGTTCATTTCCCGAAGGTTCTCATCGCCTGGCTTCACTAGGTCTCTCAGGACACTGCCGAGCCCACTTCGGTCTGTGTGGCCTGCTGCCACAGACACATCTGCAAGGGTCCAGGCTGAGCACCGCCCCCTCGGCAGAGCCAGGGGCAGGGAACAGGAGAGAGTAGGCAGAGCCAGAGGAGACAGGAGAAAAGCAAAGAGCAGGCAGGAGGGGAGGGAGAAAAGCAATGTTATGTTGGGGGCACAGGCTTAGATAGGTGAAACCCAGCTGTCATTAGTCATGTGACTCAAAAATAGGGATAATTCTTAACTCATGGTGCTGGGAACATATATATGACTGCATGTGACACACAGAGCGCACAGTAAACCCTCAGAGCATGTCAGTGGGTATTGCTAAACTAGGAAAAAATCAGGAAGTAGGGGAAGATTTGAAAGTAAGGAATAAAAGAGAGGAGAGAGAAGGTAGCAGATAGGAGAGGAGGGGATAGCCATGGAGGTCAGAGAAGAGAACAGGAAGGAAGACATAACAAATGAAGATGTTCGGCTAGGTACAGTCATGCACACCTGCAAACCCAGCACCTGGAAGGCTGAGGCAGGACTGTTGAGAGTCTGAGGCTAGCCTATGCTACAAAACAAGTACCAAGCCAGCCAAGGCAACAGAGCAAAATCCAGTTTCAAAGAATAAGCAAACAAATAAAAATGGAAACAGAATAATAGTGCTACTAAATAGTGAAACAGAAAAAAAAACATAAACAAATAGAAAGCAGGGGAGAAGGAAGGGTATAGAAGAAAAGTCCTGGGAAAACACTAGAGAATGCAGGGTTAGAAATGGTAAGGACAAAGGGAGGCCACGTAATAATGCAAAGCCTCCCAGCTTTCCCTCCATGGGTCAAGAAGAGAGAAATAGCTGCATAGAACAGTGGAAAAGGAGGGGCAGGTGAAGGTTGCACTGGAGGTGAGGGCTGGGGAAGGAGCACTGACCAATCCGGCTGTCCATGACATAGGTCTCAATGATGGCGCTTTTCCGGCAGAGGTCCTCTGCCATAGAGGCACTGCTCACCTCCAGGTGTTTCACCTGCAAGATGATCCACCCCATCTCAAGCCCCTGAACTTGACATTGCCTCCCATGAGGATCCAGCCAGACACCCTTCCCACCTCCACCCCCATCCCAGGACACTTCATGCGGGGACTAGCAGGTAGACAGACAGCACCTTCTCCTCCAGCATCCATTTCTCCTGCTGTATCTCGGCCAGTCTCTGAAACAGCTCAGCTACCTCCTCATCTGAGAGCTCTGCCGGCCGAGGGGGCTGGGCCTGAGGACTGCTAGATAAAGACTACAAGAAAGAAGAGAGAGAAAATCTAGCCCTTCTCAGCATCACCCATCCACCTGAGTTAGGGGGGTGGAGGCACATCAGCGACTATAAGTTCTGAGGCAGCAGCTGAAGGCCAGACTTGGCACTCCTAGAAACTCCACATTTCCTTTGGCCTAAAGGGAGGCAGACAGTGTTACCACCACCACAAGAGTGCTACTGAGAGGACGAAAGGAAGCAAATGACATCTAATTCCCAGATGACAGGAAATGGAAGCAACAGTAGAACAAGCTAAATGGTACCATTAAGAAGCAAGCAGAAAAATCTAAAGGTGGGATGTTTCCTACAGGTCAAATGGTTTGGTTTCTTCCACCAGCTGATGTCAGGAAAATAGCATCAGAACAGACACACAAAGACA